TTAATTTATAATACCTTGTAATGTATACATAGGTAGATGATGGTAATATGGATCTGAAACGTGGTCTCTTACTATGGGCCTCATAAGAACGCTCAAGGTCAACCAAAGAGCGATGGAGCGGGTTATGCTCGGAGTTTCCCTGCGTGATCGAATCAGAAATGAGGAGGATCTCCAGGAGAACCAAAGTGACCGACATAGCTCGCAGAATTGCTAAAATCAAGTGGCAGTGGACGGGGCACATAGCTCGTAGAGACAATGGCCGTTGGGGCAGAAAAGTTCTCGAGTGGCGACCACGGGCTGGAAGACGTAGCGTGGGCAGGCCTCCTGCTAGGTGGACCGACGATCTGGTAAAGGTCGCGGGTAGAGCCTGGTTGCGGGCAGCGCAGGGCCGTTCATTGAGGAAAACCTTGGGGGAGGCCTTTGTCCAGCAGTGGACGTCATTTGGCTGAAACGAACGAACGAACGAATGTATGAGTATGGTTGAACGATTTTGAAACGTCAAATGGCAAAAATCGGAACCAGCGATCCGGTATTGACGGTGGCGCCCCCCTGTCAATGTCACGGGTGATACGGTTCAGTGTGTGACATCTTTATCATCGTTTTCATAGTCCATTTATAAAGTATGTCAGTGTCAATGTCATGTGGTGTCAAATAACTGTTGTCTGGCGCCAATTTATTATCAAAAACATTATGGAGTAAGCGGAGGCTAATTTCTTTATAGATGTTCTGGATTACAATTTCATACATACAAAAACTTAATTTGAAGAGCGAGTTGAAAAGTAACTGAGGGTTCCGTATCCAATTTAATAAATTTTACTAATATTATAAAAGTGAAAGTTAATGCATGTTTGTTACTCTTTCATGCAAAAACTACTGAACGGATGTTGATGGAAGTTTTCAGCAAGTATTATTGTTTGTATTTTTACCTACATCAGAATAACTTAATTAAAGGCTTAAATTATAACAAAAAGGGAAAATATGACATGTGCTTACGTACCTAGGTAGTTTCGGAATATATTGGAAAGTTTCATTCTCATCAAAATCCGTCCAGTTGTACAAAAAAACACTTTTTGAAGCTAATTTTTCAATAGTAGGTAGGTTTTTACTATTATGTTTATATCGGGGAAGTTCTCTGTGGTTGAGGATTCTGGGTGAAGCCGCTTCCACCTTCGGCCTGATCATCACTTTCTATCAGGTGAGACAGGCTAAGCTTCTTTATTGAGTAAAAAAAAGTGTTTTTTAAGCTTTTTTTTTAATGCATATTGAACCCTAAAATGGTAAACAACTTTTTCCATCTCTTTAGTCTATGGAAAACCTAAACAACCAAACCTGCTGTTCTAATATCAATTCTATTCCCTGTTGTTAAAGTCCAAATAAAAATTACCATAATATAAATTTCAAATTCGCGGCTAGGTAGGTCTAGCACATGAAGTAAACCAAATTGATCTTTATTATTTGCGGAATAAAGTTCAGTTTTAAATAAACATGCTAGACTACGCATGGATAAGGTTATGCAGTAAGTTAAATTTATTAATTTTTGAATTATTATTATTCGGGATTTATTGTTTTCAAAGTTTTTTTGCTTGTGATTTATTACAATGTATTTCACTGAGATTATACTTAAAGGTATAACGGGACTATTCCCACCTCTCTTTCCCACCGCTGCAACTCCTGTGTAGCCAGGATCTACAGCTTGACCGCCAATAACCCAACCAGTGAAGGTCAAGTTTGTCCCGGGGGAAAGTTAAACTGTCATTGGACCCGCATGATTTGTAGTTGCCTGGCTAACAAAAAGTCCTAGGTAGGTTAGAAGAACCCCAGCAATCTGTGCTTACTAATATTATAAATGCGAAAGTAACTCTGTCTGTCTGTCTTGCTTCCACGCCTAAACCACTGAACCGATTTTGGTGAAAGGCATAGAGATAGTTTGAGTCCCGGGAAAGAACATAGGATAGTTTTTATCCCGGTTTTTGACGGGACGCGCGCGATAAAGGTTTTCTGTGACAGACAAAATTCCACGCGGGCGAAGCCGCGGGCGGAAAGTGACTAATAAATTGAAAAAGCATGTTCTGTATTATTTAACTGTAAAAATACAAAGTCCAAAACGTAGTACTATCATTAAAAATGACATTAATCAATAAATAGTATCTATTACAATCTTTACTATATCGTGATAACCAAAATTGATAGTTGAGATAGCCCTATCAGTTCCTGATTTCAGTGACCTTGTATTATATCTAAAAAAACATAGTTCTTTATCTAACATTATCTAATATTTGAAGCGAGAAAGCAGATTCAACAAGTACTTTCAGTTCTTCAGTACTTAATCCTACTATTATTATAAATGTGAAAGTTTGTGAGGATTTATGTTTGTTAATCTTTTACGCAAAAACTACTGAACTGATTTAGGTGAAATTCGGCACAGAGGTAGTTAGAGACCGAGAGAAAAACATAGTGTAAAAATAACATGAAAAATTGAATTACGTAAAGGTGAGAAAGGCGAAGCAAGTCTGGTTTTTGGAACATACACGAAAAATTAAATTAAATTCTGTGACAGACCGAATTTTAAGCTGACATTAAAACAATACGAGTACAGTGCATTTCTTTCCTTCCCTCCTAAAAATGTAGTTTACATAATAACCTATTTATTTATTGCGAAAATGAAAGAGTTCCAAACTGAGTTGATTTAAAAATAACCTTCCCTTCTGCGTACTACCTATGTGCCCTGCCCAATGGCACTTCAGGTTGCTAATCCGTAGACCTCATAAAGGTAGCAGGAAGGCGTTGGATGCAGGCCGCTACCAACCGGGCGATATGGAAATCATTGGGAAGACCTATGTTCAGCAGTGGACATCCTCTGGCTGAAATGATGAACTTTCCTAAAGAATTTTCGCGATTATTTCTGAAGTTTAATTGTTTTTTGATTCTGTTTCTTAGAGCAGAGATGAAAATAGGTTCAAATCAGTGCCCAAGTAACACAAAACACAATTATAAGAAGCGTACAACAGCATGAACCTACGTGCAGAGCAGTATATAAGCAGCATATGTAGCACTATATCAGCCGTATAAAAGTCTATAAGTGTCTTGTAAGCGCAATTTGGGCCCCAAATAATACGGCTTTGAGCATTATTAAAATTATTAGTGCTGCTAACCAGCGCTTATAATGTTATTGAAGACAGACATTAGTAAAGTTGTTAGACAGCATATTCTAATGTAAAAAGCATTTTATTAGATGTTAGTACAGCTTTGAAACAGCTTTCAGAATTGCAATGCCAAAGTTACGTTTTATTCTAAGGCTGAACGTTTTATTTTGTTTGTTTGAAAGTATTCGAAAAAACTTATCGCATTTTATTGTCCGATTTGATTATTTTTCGTTTAGAGTATTGCAGTGCAATGGTGTTGTGAGGAGATGTTTTAATGTCTTTATTTAAAATAATTTATCATAAGGTATTTTTCCACTGTTTATTCATGTCAATAACGTGACACGTTCGACATAAATTTTCTAATGAATATACAGGACCTACTAACGCACAAATGAATATAATCATACGGCTCGTGGTTTTATGGCCAAATTATGACCTAAAGTAATAAAATATTTTTTTTATTTATCTAAATAGTGCTAAAAGCTTTAAAGTAACAATAAAATAAGAAGATAACAGAGCTAAAACTTTAGTAAATGTTTGGCTAATGCTGAGCAGTAAATAAGCATAAGAAAAGATCATAAAAATGCGTTCAATCTGTAAAATGTGTTAATATATCTGAATGCACTATAGAATATTTCGACAACGTTTATTTAATGCATTAGGTTTTCTTATTTACTAATATACGGTTTTAACCTTTGTGTTAGTGTAAATGCTGTTAAAGGTGCTGTATATTAAAAGTAATTAATGTTTTAGTATGATTAACTTGAACTTAATTTTTTAGACCATATAATAGCTTCATGCATTGTAAATTTTACCGCATTCTACTCAAAAGCATTTAAACTAAGTCAAAACTGATTTAAAGTGATAGTCTGACTTTAAAACGTAAATCAATCTTAACTTCAGTGAATATACAGCTTGCGTGTTACTTGGGTGTAGCTGTTCTTAAGGATATGAATGATAAACTTACCGAAGGTTTTTAAATTACCAAGCTTTACAGCAGCTTGATCTGCGTGAATTTACAACTGTTATAGATCTGTCAAAGTATGAAATTGCTATGTCCATTAATATTTTTTCTAAAATTTAGATTTGTAGTTTCATTAAAATATCGCAATTTTTGTATGAAAAATGAATTTGTTCATAACTATCCATAAAAAACGGCAATTTCATCTTTAACACCTAATAAATTATGTAATAAACATTTATTTATGACTCTGAGTACAATTATATGACTCTGAGTACAATTGCACTTACATTGCACTTGGCGGAATTGAAAGCAACGTTTCGTTGTAGACGGTCTGCTAAGTGAACTATTGGGTTCGTTCACGCGGTTTCATCCCGTTTTTTGCAGGATCCCGTTTACGAGTAGGTATGTTTTTATGTTAACATTCGGACTTCCCGTTTGAGTTTCCCGTAAAAAAACCGAACCGTACGGATTTGGAGATCGAATTTGAAAGTAACACGTGTGTTCACACGAACTGGACTGCCACAACCTGCATTACTGGATCCCGCGAAACTGTCTTGCCGTGGTCACGGGCCTTAAACTGATAAAAAAAATAACTTTTTTGTCAAAATCTTTATGTTGACCCCACTGCAACAGTAGGTAGAGCTACCAACCCAACATGTAAAATTCAGACGAAAGAAGTTTTATTCAGAAGTTCAAACGATAAATAACCATAAGCTGTAGTCTCTAAACAAACACCGAATACCATTAAACGAAACCTAATTATTTACATCCAGCCCATGCAATATTCATCCCGATTTCAATTTGTAATGAATCAAAAAAAAAATGGCGCAGATTCGTTCAACACCGTCCCATATAAAGTGAGATAGGTAGATCGTTTACCAGTGTGGCGCCGCGCTCGGTTGCGTGTGTTGGTGCGAGATTCGTTTTTTGAATTTTGAGTTTTTGGCGGGAACTCACCAAGGAGTCTGCAATGTGATTGCGTGAGTTTTTTTTTCTGTTTTTGACATTAGAATTTGACATTTGGGATGCAAGGTTTTTTTTTTCTTTTTTTTTTTGGTACACACATGCATGATTGATTTTCTTTGGCGACACCTTTTTCACTATATTGTACGAACTTCGTACCTACAGCCTATTTTCATCAGAAATTAATAATGTAGGATTCCAAATAGTGCAAGAATTTTAAATCAGTCCAGCAGGTTTGGAGCCTATTCAATACAAACAACAAAATCTTTCGTTTTTTATATTTATAATATTAGCGTAGATGTAGATAATTAATTTGATAAGAATTCAGCACTGGTCTTCTCCTGGAAGAGGGGCTTTTCTAAAATGATTTTGCTTGCGGCTTGCAAAAGCCAGTAAAGTATAAATCCTATTATTTATTTAGAAGTTATCCAAGTATGAAGTAATGGATGATATTAAATGAAAGATAGATGATATCCGAGGGGGATTTTCCTTGATTTCAGTAAAGATGTAGCATTTTACTGAAACCAGACGCGGACTTCTTGAGAGAGCTTGAAAGTGATGTTGCACTGTTTTGTGTCATTTGCCTACACTCATGCAAGTTCACGAACACTTCATGGTTAATAATAATCCACTAATTATTACAAGTTAATAGTGGCCTGAAGACAATTTTTGGATATTAAAACAAAACTGCTTAAAAAACATGATGCGTCTTTCTTCTTCTAGTCGTGTCGACAATAAACCTACACAGCGTCAGCTCAAAACTCCGCTAGAAGAGAGGCGTTGTCAGTAGCCTTCATTAAAAATGTTCTTTTAATATTTCATTAATGCTTCAATTTCCCGCCAAGAAGTCCCAAAATACAAACTTTAGAAAAATCATCATCAGCCCTTTACAGTCCACTGCTGGACAATGAGCATCCTCCACTATAGTGGAGGGTTTTGCCATAATCCCCACGCTTGGCAGGCGGGTTGGAGATCGCAGTTTAAAAGATTGATGTTTTTAATAGAGCGCTGCTGCCCGTTCTCTGTTTGATGTGTAGTCCCTAAGTCGCCTCTTACGACACCCGCGGGAAGAGTAGGGGTTGGTGACAAATGTATTCTACTCTGCCTTTACCACACGGCAAAGAAAATAAAATACAACTGCCATAAAAGCTCAAGTACACTATGCAGGAAATTGGCCAAGACGTTTAGTGTGAACACCATCTCGAGTTTGTTCCGGCGTTTCTTCTCAGCACTTGCCATATGTTTGTCTCGAAGCGCTGGTAGGGCCCAAAAGATAAGGAGACATGTAAAGTGCCCCATAAGGGCTACCTTTTCTTTTTTATGTAAATTACATTTTGACGTTCATAAGTGCCACTTGTGGTCTAAACTGAATAAATATTTTTGATTTTTGATTTCTTTTTTATCTCGGATACTTTCTGACCTTCCCCATCCGTGCGTCGCCCATACTTCGGTGTGCGGGCTATGGGGTGGAGTTTCGTAAAATTAACCCGTTCTTAGTGAGCACCTACGCTCTAAAAGGACCCCCATGCGGAGACTCCTATCACTTGTAGTTTCTAAGATTTCGTGATGAGTGAGTGAGTCAGTCAGTGACCTTTCGCTTTTATAGGTAGATAGATAAATTAATTTAATTTGACGATAAAATAATAACTATTTATTTAGCCATTTGCGGGGGGCCAAGTTTTTTTGATAATAATAGAGCATAGTACAGTTTTATCAATGTGTCAGTGATATCCAAATTATCTATGTAATCTTCAAACAGGGAAGATAGGAAAAAGGACACGATTAATATCGAACAGCGAGCGCCAATACTCCATACACACAAATGCTATAGCTCCAGAAAAACGCAAAAATGGTTGAAACATGACATTTCCTGAAATCCTGAAAAACGAATTGGTTTTCAATTTGCTGCATAATTATTGTAGCACAGAAAAACAGTAGCTGGTACTTCAATAACTTTTTGTCATAATTCTTTTAGGGGAAGGAAGAGTCATTTTGACAGCTCAAAAAAATTATGTCAACTAATTGCCAAACTATCGTGCTCTAACGCCCATATTCACAAACATTACTATGATGTCTCATAGTGCGCGTGGACGCACAGGGTGACATACGAACCAATCACAGAGCTCTATTCAACGCGTGCGTTCGATTTGCCGCTTCACTTAAGCAAACATCGTTTATGAATACGGGCGTATAACTTTTACAACCAGCTACAATATTGTGTAGTTTCATTGAAATCCGTCTAGTAGCTTTTGCGTAAAGTAAAAAAATTAACGTGTTTGATGTAAGAGTATGACCCATCAAAAACAATACTTGTCAAAAAAAACAAGTCTCGCAACTCAGTTGTTCTACGGTAAAAAGTTGTGAGATCCATGTAATACCAAGTCCAGGTCAGGAAATCTTTAACGTTTTACATAAATATATTGACTTGGCCATCAAATCAATCAATCAATCAAATAATTTATTGTGCATGAAAACACGTGTAGGATAGTTTTTATCTCGGTTTTTGAAACAGGGACGCGCGTGAATACGTTTTTCTGTGGGTAGCGCATTTTCTTACATAACTTTTCAATTCCTATCATTGGAGGTCCGAAAATATTTCTCATACAATTTGATACCATAATGATCATTCTTCATAAAAAATTTAAAACCTACATATTTAAAAACATAATCATTGATATTCATAATATCACTAATCATACACTTAGTTTTTACTAATATTTGTTTTCATATATTTTTCTATACTAATGATCGAAACTCATAATCATTCGAATAAATAACTATAATATTCATAAATGTGATGTATCCTAATATTTGTTTTCATAAATTTATTACTCATAAGAGTATTTTTCCATATTATTGAAAATCATGATGTCTATATACGTATTAAATCGTATTTTAACATTAAATTAATTTGAAATGGTCCAAAACAGGCAATATTTTGTGCCACAAAACTAACGTGACAGAAACGAATCACTGCAAAACCGACTCCACGTAGTCTTGTCTGCCCTACCCCTAGAGTGTAATTTAAAAGTCGGAGGCGCGGAGGGAGGGCAGCCCTCGCCCGCTGTAACGAGGCTCAGGCACCCGGGTGAGCTGGAGCGGCTGAGGCTGGTCGCCGAGGCGCCGAAGGCGCCGATGGCGATCCAAAAAGCCGAAGCTGCGGAAGCAAGCGTGGGTGCCTGAGCCTCGTTACGCAAGGGCGGAAGAGCTGCACATCCCGCAGCGCCGGAGACGAGGTGATACCAATGCATGCTGCATGCTTGCTTTCATGCTGCATGCTCTGCATGCTTATCTACTCTATTAAATTATATATGATTTTTTTAAAGATACGAGTATGTCTGTTATAAAGTAAATTATTCTGAACAACAACATTATGAGTTGAAGTATGTTCTTAGTAACAACATTATTAATTAAAACAATATGATCAATGAATGTTATGAAGAAAAAAAATCTGAATATAAAAATTATGTATTTTAAATGGTTCTTGGTAGTAACAGTATTGATAAAAAAAATATGATTACTAACTTTTATGAGCTCCGATGGTAGGAATAAAAATGTATGAATAAAAAAAGTATGAAAAATAAAATTATGAAGAGAGATTATTATGAACACAAATCGGTAGTAAGACAAAGAATAGGATTTAGAATTTTATGTGAGCCAATATAGAACCTTTTCTGTGACATACAAAATTTCACGCGGGTGAAGCCGTGGGCAAAAGCTAGTAAAATATAAAATTATAGGGAACAATAAATTGATAATAAGACAGCTTAAAGCTTCCAAAGATCTTTTTACTTTGAACAAAACCAATTTATTGAGATAAACAATTTCTTTGTAAGATGCAAGTTTTATTGCACCATATTGTGTAGGTACTGAATTCAATTTAAATGCATTTATTCAAAACGTATAAGTTGAGTTAGGTCATATTGAATAACTTTCACGATAAAAAAGATGAAAAACATCTAGATCTTTGTATCTCTTTCATATTTGATGTGGATGAACAAGATGGATTCCGCGTTCCATTTCAATTAAAGTAGTATAAGACCCGTGTCTTACTACTTTAATTGAGTGTGAGTTTACATCAAACGCGCAGGTCTTGTCAACTCGGCGGGCCTGTCGGGCAACCCGTAACCCACAATTGAGGGGACATCTTTAAAAACCCCCACAGGTGGGGGCTGGCGGGGCGTTTGCCCGGGCCCATTCTTTGGAGGGCCGCTCTCGGTACTTATCTGATCAGCAGAGCTGACCGAGCAGCGGCATGGAGCAGACCGTAACCCGCTACGGCGGGCCGGGGGTCCTGTTGTACCAGGGCCGCGAGGAGAAAACCTCTATAAAAACAACTGGAGGAGGGGATTGGGGGTTCCCTCGAAGCAGCCTCTAGCCTGAGGCGGAGCTGCGGACGAATGTCCAACCAGGACAATAACTCGCGGTTCCGTTTCTTTGGGCTCTGGTGGAAACCGTCGGGTTTTAGTGGGTAGGCCCCGCCTTTAGTGGGTAGGCGGGGAGAGTCCCACATAACCCACTGGCCGACCCCATAGACCAGTGCGCAAAGCATTTCCCGACGAAAAGAAAATAAAGGCCCTCAGATACATGCTTCAGATTTATATGCTCTGTCACGTCATAATATGTCAATGTCACCCCTCCCATGCCGCTCCCATACCTCAGGCACTGACTGAGTTAAGCTCTAGACCTAAACTCTGATTTTTAATTCGACGGAATTTTGACATTTCAGAAGTGTTGTCAACATTGAAACATTCCCACTAAGAATGGAGAACATTTTCATAAATTAAAAAATAATCCTTTCTTGAATTTAAGGTTTCACTTGAAAAACTAATGCTTAAAAATGTACCGATCATTTCAAAATGGTTATTTGAATTTTTATTATCATATTTTTGAAGTTACAAAAAAAAATGGGAAATTATTTTTCTATTACTGGACTCCCTTGCCAATAATCCATGGGTTACAAACCTGTTTTATGAAAATCCTTTTGTTAATAAAATCTTAGGTTCATAAAATAACCAATTTAACAAGATGCCAATTTTATAATCCAAGTTGATTATGACGACGATAATGATGATTGATGATCAATACATATTTTCGTTTATGTTAATATGTTGTCTTACTGTGTTAAAAATACGTTTTTTTCTATTTAAACTCTAATATGTACATAATAATTAGTGTACATTGAATTGATACAACAAACAATAGTTAATTCTTGTAAGTTTTACTTGATGAAATTTCATTTCATATTATTTATTAATAATTCAAAGCAAAAAAGGCTTATTACATCTGAATTGTCAAAAAATGACAGCTGTCAGAATTCCGTCGAATTAAAAATCGGACTATAGTTAGCAAGTTATTCAGAATGAAAATACAGATTTAAAAATAAAATAAATGGTAATTCCTGTAAAATAAATAAGAGGCTGGAGGAGGAGCCTGGATGCGGGCAGCGCAGGACCGTTCATTGTGGAAAACCTTGGGGGAGGCAGAACGAACGAAATAAGAGGCTAACAAAGGTGACTCTCCCACACAAAGGTGAACTCCACTTTGAGAACCTCATTTTTCGAAGTCGGTTAAATGATAAATAGATTAGATTATTGACACAAAATGCTCTAGTTCATTTCGTATAACCAATCCATTTTCAGTTACTTTTCGCTTGCGCAGAATTTCACATACGCACTTTAATGCATAAATTATTTGAAATGTTACATCAACAAAGTATTGAATTACACTTCCGTATACGCGACCTTTGCTAATTCAATAACTATAAGGCTGGGTTGCACCATCATACTTTAACTTTGACAAACGTCAAAAATCTGTCAAACTCTATACAAAAAACACCGGTTATCGTCATAGTTACGGTCAAAGTTAGGTGGTGAAACTCAGGCTTAGTCGGCTAAAATTAGGCTAAACATTACAATATTAGTGTCAGTCAATACTAGTGTTAGTGCGTGGAGCGGAGAGAAGTGGAAATAATGAAATATTTTTGGTTATTCAACACACCGGTCCACCTTGTGGGTGGACGTCACACGCTGCGTTTCCAGTACGTGGCCTCCACTCCAGAACCTTGCTGCCCCATCGGCCTTCATTTCTGCGTACGATGTGCCCTGCCCATTGCCACTTCAGCTTGCTAATCCGTCGGGCTATGTCTGATAAAGGTAGCAGGAAGGCGCTGGATGCAGGCCGCTACCAACCGGGCGATATGTAAGTCATTGGGGGAGGCCTATGTTCAGCAGTGGACGTCCTGTGGCTGAAATGATGATAATGATGATTCAACACACTTCTTTTGCTCCGTTCCGCTGTGGTGGAAACTGAGCCTGAGGCTATGTTGCACCACCATACTTTAACCGTAACTATAACCACCGGAGTTTTTGTGTGGTGTTTGACAAGTTGAAGAAAGAGTGCAACCCAGCTAAGTTTGTGTTTTAACCGGATCCACTGCTGGACAAAGGCCTCCCCCAATGATTTCCACATCGACCGGTTGGTAGCGGCCTGCATCCAGCGCCTTCCTGCTACGTTTATGAGGTCGTCGGTCCACCGAACGGACGCTACACGCTGCGTTTTCTGGCCCGTGGTCTCCACTCCTGAATTAAATAAAGTTTTCTTGTTACAGTAACAACAATGGAAGAATCATCGCTCCACAAAATGGCGTGCGAAATCAAAATGGACGCTGCAAGCCACATGCTACCCAAATGTCAGACCGCCATCTTGAAAAGTGACAGTTTACTTTATTTGAACATGACGTTAAGTGCTGTGCGGTCTGTGATGATTTTTTTGCACGAACATAGTTCGGTGATTTTCGCATCTGTGATATTAGTGATAGTTTTGTATGTGTTGTATAAGTGTTATTGGAACCCAGTGTTTTATAGTAAGGTAAGCAATCACATCAAGCATAGGCGCAGACCACTGACTTTTAGTTGGCCGATAGTTGGGTCGGGCATGTCAGTTTAACTTTCCCCGGGACAAACTTGACCTTCACTGGTTGGGTTATTCGGTCAAGCTGTAGATCCTGGTTACACAGGAGTTGCAGTGGTGGGGACGAGAGATGGGAATAGTTCCGTTTGGTGAGCAAAATGTGTTAAATAAGTCCAGCAGCGCGAGGTTCGGACTCGCGTTCTTTGGATCTTGGATTTGGCCAGTCCGACATCGACACCGTAGGTCTATTGACGCTTAAATTCGTTCGTTTCAGCCGAATGACGTCCACTGTTGGACAAAGGTCTCCTCCAAGGTTTTCTACAATGAACGGTCCTGCGCCGCCCGCATCCAGGCTCTTCCCGCGACCTTCACCAGATCGTCGGTCCACCTAGTAGGAGGCCTGCCCACACTACGTCTTCCAGCCCGTGGTCGCCACTCGAGAACTTTTCTGCCCCAACGGCCATCGTCTCTACGAGCTATGTGCCCCGCCCACTGTCTTTACATGTCTCATTCTTTTTTTGTCCTACCAGCGCCTTTTTTTATTATTTACAGGAGTTAACAGACATAGGCTTCGAGCACATAAGACCCGGGCCGGACAGACCCGCGAGAGTGGCGCGGGCGCAGCTCGCTCGTAAGCTGGGATACAAGATACCCCCGCCGTATCCTAATGGGTGGTTCGCGGTGGCTGAGAGTAGCGAGTTGAGGGTTGGGGGTGTTTTGGCAGTGGATGTCTTGGGTGAGTATTTTAATTAAATAATAACCCTCCTTCTGGCGCAGTCGGGTAAAAAAAACACGTAGAGCTGTGGTATAAGATACCCCCGCTGTATCCTAACGGGTGGTTTGCGGTGGCTGAGAGTACTGAGTTGAGAGTTGGGGGTGTTCTGGCAGTGGATGTTTTGGGTGAGTTTATTTAATCATCATCATCATCATTTCAGCCATAGGACGTTCACTGCTGCACAGTATAGGCCTCCCCCAATGATTTCCACAATGGCTGGTTGGTGGCGGCCTGATCCAGCGCCTTCCTGCTATCTTTATGAGGTCGTTGGTCCACCTTGTTGGTGGACGTCCTATGTTGCGCTTTTCAGTACGTGGTCTCTACTCCAGAACCTTGCTGCCCCATCGGCTGTCAGTTCTGCATACTATGTCCCTGCCCATTGCCACTTCAGCTTGCTAATCCGTTAGGCTACGTCATATATTTAATTAAATAATAACCCTCCTTCTGGCGCAGTCGGGTAAAACAACAGGTAGGGCCTTAGTATTAATTGCCTTTCCAAAAGAGGGGAAGAGGAAGACCTCAAACCATCTGGATGACGAATGTCCAAAAGGACATGAAAGTATTGGGACTCCACGAACAAGACGTTCAAGATAGAATCAAATGGCGGTGCTTGATTGGAAAAGCAGAAGAAGAAGAGGGCCTTAATATACCTATTGCAAAATAAACGCGCATTGAACACTTGTTTAAATTGACATCGAGTATGGAAATTTAAGTTTAAGCCAGTGTTCAACCCGCGTTTAGCTTTTTTTATAAAGCTCATTAATTCAATATCGACATAAAACACACCCCCGTCATTCTTAAAAGGTAAAGGTCATAGCAGACTTTCAACATGAAAAGGGATTCACTGTATCGCCTTTCGCGAGCTGTCATCGCCTTCCACGCACTGTCAACCGCGAGGGGAGGCGTTTACGTTACGGTGCGAGAAACTCTAAAAACTTATTTTAAACTAATATAACCTTATTTTCAGGTCAGAACCTCTGCCTCTTCCGGGGTGAAGACGGCGTCGCTCGCTGTGTAGACGCCTACTGCCCCCACTTGGGGGCAAACCTAGCTATAGGGGGGGCTGTCACCGGCAACTGCATCCAATGCCCCTTTCACAAGTGGACTTTTGGCCCTGATGGCGTTTGCAAGAGCGTGCCGGGAGTTGAAAAAGGTAATATTTAGATTTGAGACTACCCTTTTTGACGGCCGATAGTTTGGTAATTGCTTGTAGTTGAGCCCCCGCAATAACACCGGCGGCAGAGGATGAACGCCTAAAAGATGGACAGATGACATCCGGCAACAAGCTGGAATAAACTGGATGCAAGTGGCCAGAGACAGAAGTCGGTGGACGGTTGAAGGAGGCCTTTGTTCCGCAGCAAAACTGACGTGACCGTCATAGTCCACAGAATTGCTTGTTCTTTGTGATACTGAATAAATACTTATACTTTTTATCTCCAGCTCCTCGCGGAGTCGCCGTCAAGTCCTGGCAGACCTGCGAAGCTGACGGAGCCGTGTGGATCTGGCACGACGCCGATGGCAGAGAGCCACAGTGGAGCATGGGCTACAGTCCTGGAGACTGGGCGTATAGAGGCCGGAACGAGTTCGTGGTCAGCGCGCATATACAGGTTAGTTACAAAATCTTGGGTTGAAAGGTCTCTTCTGAAGTCTCCTGTAGAATAAAATAAGACAACGTAGATTTCAGACTTTTATTCGGCCGATAGTTAAGCTTCTAATTTGCAAGAAACCCACCGATACGAAATCGGTGTACTAATATATTCCCATACGGGACTATTCCCACCTCTCGTTCCCACCACTGCAACTCCTGTGTAGCCAGGATCTACAGCTTGACCGCCATAAAAACTCAACCAATGAAGGTAGGTAATGTACTCCCATAGTGATTAAAGCTCATAGCAGACTTATAAACTCCCCCCCATTAAGTGGGGGCGTGTTGGGTCCCGCCGTGTAGGGCGGGACGTCCGCGGAAGGCGCCTTGGTCGTTTCTAGTACCCAAGGCGCGACCACTATGCGGCAGAGGGAACACTCCAGGTTTTTAGTGGGTTCGAGCCCCACTTAACCTGCCGTCCCCCGGCGGTAGGTATGGATAGGCCATTTTCCTGGGTAAAAAAAAAGACATAAACTCGGAAAGGGATCAACACCGTATCGCCTTTCGCGAGCTGTCATCCCCTTTCGCGCGCTGTCAACCGCGAGGTAGGTACCTATATTGTGGTAACGAAGGACAACTACGGAACCCTACACTGGGCGTGGCACGACACACACTTGTTATAAAGGACAATGTTCGTTCTCCATACATTGTTCGCCTAAAGAACCAACAATTTTGACATATTACTACCCGAAAGCGAAATAATACGATTCTGTGTGTAAGAACAATGATTCCTGATGGACACTTGCCATAAAATTAATGATTAAGAATATTAAATCACAGCGATTTTATAATATGTCGTTTATGACAACATGGCGTCTAATG